AGGGCTCGGTTTCCTAAGGGAGATCGGGGTCCCCACAAACATTTCAGGTCTCAAGAATCCAGAGACAGAAAATGGGAATCTGCTCTTTCTGCAGATTAGCAACAGAAGGATTCCAGCCACTCAGCTCTCCCTCCCCAAGGATGACATGACTGAGAAATCAAGAACTGACTAAATTACACCAAGTGAGCCTCTGCAGGGACCTTGGCACCGTCAGCTTCTGACACAGAGGACACGAGTTCAGGATGCACCTCAGCTCTCCCGCCCTAGGAGGAGGATCTCATAGGCACAGCAAAGCTGAACTGGGTCTCTGAAGAGACCTTAATAGCTGCTCACTATGATAATTCCCACTCACTCATCCACTGGCGGGCACTGACGGCCGGCTCATCTGAGAGAGAAAACTGACCCAACCCTCCCAGGACTAGAGTCAGACTCAAAATTAACCCACCTCCTCCCAGACTGGAATCCTGTAGGTCACCGAATTCCATTTCCAATGGAAACCAGGAATACAGTAAGCTGGTATCCTTAACCTCTGATGTGCTCTGCGGCCAGATGAGGTCTATTTGTTCAAGCTCATAACAGGACCTATCGAAGCTGCACAATCCTGATCTTCCCCTGGCCTGAAATAAAACAAAACGGAAGAAAAGACAAGGAAGAAAGCAAAAGAGAAACCCCCTGTAAGAGAGGACTCCTCAAGAGCCAGTGGGATGAGACAGCTACCACCCCATCCCACAGAGAGAAACATCAAGCTCAAGGAAAAGGGAAGTCACAGAAAGTCAGTGAGACACTGCTGTATCTATTGTACCTATCACCATGGCAGCACCGCTGATCACCATCAGATGTTTAAGGAAGCTCCATGAACCTCATTACACCCTTAAAAGGGCATCTCCCCTATTTTTCTCCCCAGCCATGAAAGTACAGTGCTTGTAAGGAGAGAGAGAGAGAGAACCACTGAAAGAGAGAACAATGCTTCCTTGTCTTGCAATGGTCACAATAGGGCACACTCTCCTCCCTCCCTGAGAGTCCCTGGCAGAGGGAAGGGTCCAACACAGCCATCCTGACAGACTCCTCTCACTGACTAAGGAGCTCCCCTTAGCAGGCTGCCAAGCTAAGCCTCCCTGTGGTACTTCACAGCCCTGCTGGTATGTGGCGAATTCGAAAGCTTTCATGAGAAGTTAATGTATATGCTGGCAAGCCCCCCAGGGTGACATGAATACAACACAGGGCTACAGTAAAGGCTGGCATTATTCAGGAGACACGCGCAGCGGGTGATTACGGCCCCCGTTATTTTCAGAATGGGGACAGATAGCCATTTGCAAACATAATGGGTCAAATTCAGCCCTGATATAAACAGGCTCAGTTCTTGCAGGTTTCAATGCAATTGCACCCACATAATGGATGATCCTTGTAGCCGTAACAAGCATCGACTGTTCCAGGCACCGCATTTCATTGGGATTTAAGCACCATTTCGTAAACTTAACTAGGCATGTGAATTCCTGTTTTTGAGAGAGGCAAGTGTCATCTTGTAATTGGAGCAGAGAATTGGGAGCCAGGACTCCTCAGGTCTATTCCTGACTGCCACTGATTCACTAGGTGACCTTCAGCAAATTACTTAACCTCTGTGCCTCCATTTCTCCTTCAGTAAAATGGGGATAACACTGACCTACCTCAAGGGGTGATTATAAGGCTTAATTAATACCAGTAACGTGCTTCAAGAGCCTTTGCTGAACTATGCTCTCCAATAGCACCAATTCGATATCATTATAACGAAAGGGGATAGTCTCGCGTTGGTGGCTGAGTAGCCAGGGAATATTCATCAGTGCCAGCAGGAGCTCTGGCGTGTGATTTCCACAAAGCCACAATAGACTTAAATGCCCTTTTAGGGTTTCACACTGCACAGAAAGGCAAAATACACAACCTCGTCTGTCCACAAAACCTCTCCAGAGTAGCTGACCTAGCGTCTCAGCCCACCCCTTCCATACCCTCGTTACATGTTCATTTCAGACTCAAACAGAAAAATGAGCTAATCTCATGCGTGCCACTTGCTCTCATGTGCACAACTCTGAAATCATCTGAAATCATCACTCTGATCCACCACAAAATGTCAAGGAACGACATTTACGAAGGGGTGGTTTGTTTCAAGAAAACTACCCACAAAAACAGGGCGAGGAGAGTCTCAGCTGCTTTCCCAAAGCAGTCACAGGGGTTAGGCACTCATGCGGTTAGCCTACTTTATCAGCTCTATCGTCTATTAAATGCGATCCCTTACCCACCGGTCAGGAAAACCCTTTGAGTGACGAGGCCAAGAAACATGCCACATCCAGACAGCACAGTTCGTCCTCAGTGCCTCCTGGGAACGGGGGAGACGCAAGAGGAAGTTTTTATTTGCAGAGAAAATAGATGAATAAGCAATCTTGGCTGACATTCCTGCCATGGCACAATGAACGTACCCATTAAACCCCCGCTGACAGCAACTGGAAACCGCTCCAAGGCTTTGCAATAGCGGGTGTCTGGAACAAAGCCCTGTTTGTACGGCATGACTGATTAAAAAGATCCCCAGTCCCCATAAAAAAAAGCAGCCGACTGACTGTGATCCAGTCTGCAAGCCACGGGAGGGAGGCTCTCCTGGCTATACTTTGGTATTACGCTGAACATGCTACACCGATTGGAATAACGAAGCAGGAATTAAGCATGGTCTTGGACAGCCACAACTCCCAGTCTGGGCTGCGTGTCTGTGCTTATTTTCAACGTTAGATACTGGCAAAACATGGCTCATCTTTAGTGTTTAAAAAAAAAAAGGAGGAAAAATCCCTTTTTATTCCATGTTAAACATTGTTCTCTTTGACTTGAATAAACATAGGCCCCTTCAGAGCCCCAAGCTGCTCAGATGAGCTCCCAGCAAGCATGGGGCAGCCTCAGGATCCACTGCCCTTCAGCAAACCACTGTGATCATGAGGGACAAACTCCCCACAGCCACTGGATCATTTCAGGGCCTGCCAGTCGACAACAAAACCTCTGCCTGTTCCAGTGGATGAGCTCAGAGAGCATAGAGGACTTCGGTGCCTGCCTCCCTCCCCGCTAGCTCTTTATACCTCGCTCACCAGCATATCCAGAATCAACACATGCCAAAAACGGGGCAGTTTCGGGGACCTTCCGTCTCTCTCAGGAGCTCCCCTTCTCAGATGTTTGCTTCTTGGGGGCTTTAACCAAACAAAACCAGAGACACCACTGACAATTCTCCCATTAACACAAAAGCATCCTGAGAGCACTCTGGCTATGAGCAAACTTCAATGGAAGCTGACCAGGTGTCTTTACAAACAAACACTGAGAAATCAGCTGACCCCATCTACACTGGCACAGTTGTGACCCAGAGAAAGAGCTATATCCACTACCTGCTGTCATACATCACAGAACTAGTTTTGTGTTTAGTGCAGACAGAGCCCTAGTCCCCCACAGGTTGTCATCAATGCATTTACCCACCTCTCACCTTCCCTGCTGGCAATTTGGTGAGTTACTCACCTGCTTTGTCGTGCGTGCAATTACACACACACACAAATACACACAAAGTGCTAGGGTCCATGTATTCATTATTTGTACTGCAGTAGCACCAAGGAGCCCCAGTCATGGCCAGGACTCCAGGGTGCTAGGCACTGTACAGACGCAGAACAAAAAGCCCCAAGCGACACAGGTATGTGAGAAATAGCATTTATCATGCCCCTTCCACTGCCTCTCCTACGTTACCCACACCAGGCCTACCTCTAACATACCAGATCTCAGGGGGATGTGGGAAGTGATGTTTATTTTTAAATCATGCTGCCCCAAAGGTGTTCCCTCCCTCCCTCTCCAAATACAGGACGCTCCCTTCCTACCTCCCTTACATGGACCCCATTTCCAAGAAGGCAGAATTCAGTCTGTGATCAGTGTCTGACTTGTGTTTTGTTCTTTCCATGTACATTTTTCTCTTGCCCTCTAAGACCTGCACATGGATTTATTGGTGTGAAAGGAAAATATAATGCCAATAAAAATTTAAACTTTTGAACATTTCTAAAATGTATTGCTTGCTAACTATGTACCATCTACAGAATACATGATGGTGTGACAAAGGTTTGATTGGTATACCTCACATACAGCTTTGCCAGCCATACCTAATGCAACCACCCAAGCACATGACGGTCAGACCTGCACCATCATCACAGTAATATTTTTGAGTGTGTGACATGTCAACAGTTGAACTAAACTCAGATTTCATTCACACAGAGCTTATATACTGTAGGCCCATCGTAAACAGGCTGTGACTGTGGCTACGTCTACACCACCCACGTTACACCACTGCCGCGGCAGCGCTGGGAGATGGGCAGTACAAACTCGCTTTATCGCCGGAGCGAGCTCTCCCAGCGACAAAAAAACCCAGCTCCCCTCTCAAGCGGTGGCAGGTTTATGGCCAGGAGCACAGCGCCCGGTGATAAATTGCTGTCTATACTGGTGCTTAAAACTTTTGTTGCTCAGGGGGCTGTTTTTTGACACCCCTGAAGGACAAAAGTTTTAGCAGTGAGAGCGGCAGCGCAGGCACAGCCTGTGAGACAGAGGCATTGTTCTGGCTTTAAAATGGGAGCTGCTGTTTTCGATCTCCTTAGAATCCCACCCACAGCTGTGAAGTATTCACCGAAATATTCACTGCCCGAGCTGTGAGCCCAAACTCTGCAAGACAAAGGCAAGTGAGTCCTGCCCTCCCCTGTAAATCTCTCAGGCTGCGCAGCAGCCACAGTGTAAAACTACCCCAAGGGCTTTTAAAAACAACTGGCTCACTGCTGTATGGCCCAGAACACCAGATACACTGTGCACCCAGTTCCGCAGAAAACTCTTAAGGGATGTTCACAAGCCCTATTTCCCCCTTACACTGGTAAAGTTCTTTCACAATTCAGGATGCAAGGCAGGAAGATTTATCCACATTAGGATTTCATCAGCAATCCAATTCCATGCTTGCGCTCTAATAAGCACTCTACCTGACTGGTTGTTCCTCATACGGATAGCTTTTGCTTTGGCCAGCTCCAAAGCAGTGACCCATCGTTGCCTCTCCACTTCGGAGCTTGCCTTTAGATGGTATGTCCTTCCCCCATTGGAGAGTACGATGTTACAGGAGTCCTCTGTATCAATGTGCGCTGTTGACAAGTTGATGGTTCCGCGGCAGGTGTGAGCCATTTCAGCCTGTGTCCTGCAAGAGAGAGAAGGGGTATAAAATCCTCTGGGTCCACATTCAGACCTTTTAAAAAACTACTATTCCTTGACCACACAACATTCCCCTGCTTGCCATGCGCTATTCTGCAAAACTAACCCGCTAGAGCAGCTGCAAAGAAAAACACCCAGAGAATTCAGAGAACAAAACTGAGCCTTCAAAGCCAGGAGCACTTCCCGAAAGGAACAGAAACAATCCAACACACACAGTTTGGAATAAAGTGTTCAGTCGCTTTCACTGCGCAGCCCTCGTCTGTTACCTTTAGGGTTTTGCAACCCAGCAAAATAAGCTTCTTGCTGTCCAAAGTTACACTACTTAAAGCTCTTTCTCCCCCCCCCCCCCCACAGCATTTCCCGCCTAATTCTTATTATTACTGCTGCTTCTTTCCCTTCCCACTTTCATTGCTAGGGTCCCATTCAGTAGCCCTGACTCACAAGACTAAGGGTATGTCTACACTACGAAATTAGGTCGAATTTATAGAAGCTGGTTTTTTAGAAATCGTTTTTATATATTCGAGTGTGTGTCTCCCCACAGAAAATGCTCTAGGTGCATTAACTCGACGGAGCGCTTCCACAGTACCGAGGCAAGCGTCGACTTCCAGAGTGTTGCACTGTGGGTAGCTATCCCACAGTTCCCGCAGTCTCCGCTGCCCATTGGAATTCTGGGTTGAGATCCCAATGCCTGATGGGGCTAAAACATTGTCGCGGGTGGTTCTGGGTACATATCGTCAGGCCCCCGTTCCCTCACTCCCTCCATGAAAGCAGCAGCAGACAATCGTTTCGCGCCTTTTTTCTTGAGTTACCTGTGCAGATGCCATACCACGGCAAGCATGGAGCCCGCTCAGGCAAACGTCACTGTATGTCTCCTGGGTGCTGGCAGACACGGTACTGCATTGCTACACAGCAGCAGCAACCCGTTGCCTTGTGGCAGCAGACGGTGCAATAGGACTGGTAGCTGTCATCATCATATCCGAGGTGCTCCTGGCCACGTCAGCCAGGAGCGCCTGGGCAGACATGGGTGCAGGGACTACATTAGAAGTGACTTGACCAGGTCATTCTCTTTAGTCCTGCAGCCAGTCCTATTGAACCATCTTATGGTGAGCAGGCAGGCGATACGGATTGCTAGCAGTCCTATTGTACCATCTTCTGCCGAGCAGCCATGAGATGCAGATGGCTTGCAGTCCTTCTGCACCGTCTGCTGCCAGCCAAAGATGTAAAAGATAGATGGAGTGGATCAAAACAAGAAATAGACCAGATTTGTTTTGTACTCATTTGCCTCCTTCCCCGTCTAGGGGACTCATTCCTCTAGGTCACACTGCAGTCACTCACAGGGAAGGTGCAGCGAGGTAAATCTAGCCATGTATCAATCAGAGGCCAGACTAACCACCTTGTTCCAATAAGAACAATTACTTAGGTGCACCATTTCTTATTGCAACCCTCCGTGAAGTCCTGCCTGAAATACTCCTTGATGTAAAGCCACCCCCCTTTGCTGATTTTAATTCCCTGTAAGCCAACCCTGTAAGCCATGTCGTCAGTTGCCCCCCCTCCATCAGGGCAACGGCAGACAATCGTTCCGCGCCTTTTTTCTGTGCAGACGCCATACCAAGGCAAGCATGGAGGCCGCTCAGCTCACTTTGGCAATTAGGAGCACATTAAACACCACACGCATTATACAGCAGTATATGCAGCACCAGAACCTGGCAGAGCGATACCGGGCGAGGAAGCGACGTCAGCACGGTCATGTGAGTGATCAGGACATGGACACAGATTTCTCTGAAAGCATGGGCCCTGCCAATGCATGCATCATGGTGCTAATGGGGCAGGCTCATGCGGTGGAACACCGATTCTGGGCTCGGGAAACAAGCACAGACTGGTGGGACTGCATAGTGTTGCAGGTCGGGGACGATTCCCAGTGGCTGCGAAACTTTCGCATGCATAAGGGCACTTTCATGGAACTTTGTGACTTGCTTTCCCCTACCCTGAAGCGCATGAATACCAAGATGAGAGCAGCCCTCACAGTTCACAGGCGAGTGGCGATAGCTCTGTGGAAGCTTGCAATGCCAGACAGCTACCGGTCAATTAGGAATCAATTTGGAGTGGGCAAATCTACTGTGGGGGCTGCTGCGATGCAAGTAGCCCACGCAATCAAAGATCTGCTGATATCAACGGTAGTGACCCTGGGAAATGTGCAGGTCATAGTGGATGGCTTTGGCTTTGCTGCAATGGGATTCCCTAACTGTGGTGGGGCCGTAGACGGAACCCATATCCCTATCTTGCAACCGGAGCACCAAGCCGGTGAGTACATAAACCGCAAGGGGTACTTTTCAATAGTGCTGCAAGCTCTGGTGGATCACAAGGGACGTTTCACCAACATCAACGTGCGATGGCCGGGAAAGGTACATGACGTTTGCATCTTCAGGAACTCTGGTCTGTTTCAAAAGCTGCAGGAAGGGACTTTATTCCCAGACCAGAAAATAACTGTTGGGGATGTTGAAATGCCTATATGTATCCTTGGGGACCCAGCCTACCCCTTAATGCCATGGCTCATGAAGCCGTACACAGGCAGCCTGGACAGTAGTCAGGAGCTGTTCAACTACAGGCTGAGCAAGTGCAGAACGGTGGTAGAATGTGCATTTGGACGTTTAAAGGCGCGCTGGCGCAGTTTACTGACTCACTTAGACCTCAGCGAAACCAATATTCCCACTGTTATTACTGCTTGCTGTGCACTCCACAATATTTGAGAGAGTAAGGGGGAGACGTTTATGGCGGGGTGGGAGGTTGAGGCAAATCGCCTGGCTGCTGGTTATGCGCAGCCAGACACCAGGGCGGTTAGAAGAGCACAGGAGGGCGCGGTACGCAAAAGAGAAGCTTTGAAAACCAGTTTCATGACTGGACAGGCTACGGTGTGAAAGTTCTGTTTGTTTCTCCATGATGAACCCCCCCCCCGCCCCTTGGTTCATTCTACTTCCCTGTAAGCTAACCACCCTTCCCTCCTCCCTTCGATCACCGCTTGCAGAGGCAATAAAGTCACTGTTGCTTCACATTCATGCATTCTTTATTCATTCATCACACAAATAGACGGATGACTACCAAGGTAGCCCAGGAGGGGTGGTGGAGGAGGGAAGGAAAATGCCACACAGCACTTTAAAAGTTTACAACTTTAAAATTTATTGAATGCCAGCCTTCTGTTTTTTGGGCAATCCCCTGTGGTGGAGTGGCTAGTTGGCCGGAGGCCCCCCCACCGTGTTCTTGGGCGTCTGGGTGAGGAGGCTATGGAACTTGGGGAGGAGGGTGGTTGGTTACACAGGGGCTGTAGCGGCAGTCTGTGCTTCCAGCAGCCTCAGCGTGATGAGAGGAGGCAGGATTCAATGCTGCTGCCACCTTTCAGCTTCAGCCCGCCACTTACTCTCTTCAGCCCTCCACTTACTCTCCCGGTCATTTTGTGCTTTCCTGCACTCTGACATTATTTGCCTCCACGCATTCGTCTGTGCTCTGTCAGTGTGGGAGGACAGCATGAGCTCAGAGAACATTTCATCACGAGTACTTTTTTTTTTTCTTTCTAATCTTCACTAGCCTCTGGGAAGGAGAAGATCCTGTGATCATTGAAACACATGCAGCTGGTGGAGGAAAAAAAAGGGACAGCGGTATTTAAAAAGACCCATTTTATAAAACAATGGCTACACTCTTTCAGGGTAAACCTTTCTGTTAACATTACGTACATAGCACATGTGCTTTCGTTACAAGGTCGCATTTTGCCTCCCCCCACCGCGTGGCTACCCCCTCAACCCTCCCCCCCCCCATGGCTAACAGCGGGGAACATTTCTGTACACCCACAGGCAAACAGCCCAGCAGGAACAGGCACCTCTGAGTGTCCCCCGAAGAAAAGCACCCTATTTCAACCAGGTGACCATGAATGATATCTCGCTCTCCTGCGGATAACACAGAGAGATAAAGAACGGATGTTGTTTGAATGCCAGCAAACATACACTGCAATGCTTTGTTGTACAATGATTCCCGAGTACGTGCTACTGGCCTGGATTGGTAAAGTGTCCTACCATGGAGGATGCAATAAGGCTGCCCTCCCCAGAAACCTTTTGCAAAGGCTTTGGGAGTACATCCAGGAGAGCCGCAAATACCAGGGCAAATTAATCCTTTCACATGTTTGCTTTTAAACCATATATAGTATTTTAAAAGGTACACTCACCGGAGGTCCCTTCTCCGCCTGCTGGGTCCAGGAGGCAGCCTTGGGTGGGTTCGGGGGGTACTGGCTCCAGGTCCAGGGTGAGAAACAGTTCCTGGCTGTTGGGAAAATCGGTTTCTCCGCTTGCTTGCTGTGAGCTATCTTCTTCGTCCCCAAAACCTGCTTCCGTGTTGCCTCCATCTCCATTGAAGGAGTCAAGCAACACAGCTGGGGTAGTGGTGGCTGAACCCCTAAAATGGCATGCAGTTCATCATAGAAGCGGCATGTTTGGGGCTCTGACCCGGAGCGGCCGTTCGCCTCTCTGGTTTTCTGGTAGGCTCGCCTCAGCTCCTTAAGTTTCACGTGGCACTGCTTCGGGTCCCTGTTATGGTCTCTGTCCTTCATGCCCTGGGAGATTTTGACAAAGGTTTTGGCATTTCGAAAACTGGAATGGAGTTCTGATAGCACGGATTCCTCTCCCCATACAGCGATCAGATCCCATACCTCCCATTCAGTCCATGCTGGAGCTCTTTTGTTCTGGGACTCCATCATGGTCACCTCTGCTGATGAGCTCCGCATAGTCACCTGCAGCTTGCCAAGCTGGCCAAACAGGAAATGAGATTCAAAAGTTTGTGGTTCTTTTCCTGTCTACCTGGCCAATGCATCCGAGTTGAGAGTGCTGTCCAGAGCGGTCACAATGGAGCACTCTGGGATAGCTCCCGGAGGCCATTACCGTTGAATTGTGTCCACAGTACCCCAAATTTGACCCAGCAAGACTGATTTAAGTGCTAATCCACTTG